TATCCAATGATCGAGGGAAAAATACCAGCGCCTTGAGCATGTACTAGTTCCGTTGATATGTGCGCTATATAAGTATCCTATAATAATGATAATCTTATATCATCTGAAATAATAATTATAATAATTCATTTATCCATCTGACTAGTTGCTCACTGAGAATGGTAACCTTGGGGCTTGTGTCAAGGTAACTGGTGACGGAAAACCAGAAGGAGATTGCTTCTGAAATTTTCCTGAACTAACTGCACCTTGAGGTTCATCTTCAGCCTCGACCTTGGTCTGAGTGTAACTCTTCATCCACTGTACTAAGTCCTCTGGACTATCGGACTTGGGCCAGGTCTTAAGCGCCTTGAAAGCTCCAATCCGATTCTTTTACTTCCTCTGGTGTTGGTTCATTCATAGCGAAAGAAACGAGGGAAGCAATCAAATGTAAACGAAGAAAGGCAGGTGTGGTAACCGTATAGGTAAATGTCCAAATGATCGCGAAATGAGCTGGCCATTTAACCTCATGAGAGATGAAAAGTATCTTAGCTTGGGACAAAAAAAACCAAACCCCAAAACAATTAGGGCTAAATGCATGAGAAGGTGTTAGTTGTGATTGCGTGCTTGGGATGGTCATGAATTGGCTCGGGCAGCAGGGTAAGGGGACACCCATAGGGTGTGTCGACTAAACCTAACACAACAACTACCCGTTCGTATGAACCTCAACATCAAGCCAACAGAAGGAAACACACTTTCTCATGATCCATGAAACCAGAAGCCTAAACACAGAGAGAACAAACCATAACCATAACCCGTTGAACAACACAACACCTATTTATGATATTAAAGTAGTTGTTGGTCTATTTACATGAATGTATAAATACACTTTATTTGGTTTACTGCATGGAACTCAAACATTCATATAGGTTGGGTATTCTCATTCACGCACACAATCACCGAGGTTGAGGTATAAAACCCCACTAAATAACAGCTACGTTTATGGAAGTCAGTACTGAAGTGTATGAGCGCTCATTCTAAGTCTAAGTATTCACAAAACATGCAGGTAACAAGATCTAAATTGACCAAGAAATATTGTGCACGCAGGCACAACCCGGGTACATGATATTCAGAAAAATGTACAAGCAAAAATTCAGAACATGTTCAAACATTGACTTGCATTTAATAATGATCATATGTACAAGTGATGAATTCCGTGTCTAAGTAATGATTCTTTGAACCGCCGATTGCAAACGTCAAGTATAACATCAGTACAGGTCTGTACATACACAATGTATTATATGTGTAGTTCGACCTACACTCAAGTGTCTCTATATCTGCAGATAACAAAATACAAGTTGTAAATCACAAGACAAAACGCACATCGCGTCACGTTGTTCCCGTTGATGACGTCATGGTTCCGTTAACAGTTGTGGATCTCGAATGTTGATGACAGCAGACTCGTCTTCAAATCTCCGGTTAGGCCATTCCTTACTGGGGGCTCCAATGTAGCAGGACTGCGTCAGTCACACACCGACAACAGACGATACTTTTTGTTCTTCAATGGCCGATGGTTTATTAGAGATGTGGGTAGTGAAAACAACAACCCTGATACAATCAGGTGTACAATATAATAAATGCAGCAATATACACATATCCAAACACAGATATACACATATAATTCGTACATATGTTATTACATTACCAAATAGTTGCTTCAGTAAACAATTACTGTGTACAAAATGTATTTCATTTGATATACATGACATATATACAATATATAAACCTACCAGGTGTGTGGGCCTAGGTTTATTTCACACCTGGGGACGCTGCTGTGTCTGTCTGAAATGTTTGCCTGTAGAGAAAATAACAATAATATATACAGACATGCTAATGATGAACATATACAAAAGTAACCTCAGCACTGATACAGTAATCAAACACAAATTTGGCTGTAGCTGAGCAAGATATAAAACAATGAAAATAAGACCTCATTCATTCATTCATTCATTCATTCGTGCTTATTTTCATTCACCCATTTATGATTACAAAGCTGTACTTGTGTTCATCCATTCATCACATGCTCACGTGGTTAACCTTGCCTTTTAATAATCATGTTACTAATATTACATTATAATGAATGTAGAGTATTTATCACCAACTTCACAGTACTAATTTAAGACTAACACACACTGATACAACTACAAGTTATATCTACAAATGATATACATGAACAATAAATACTATATCCAAATTACCTCAGAATGTGATCCCAAGATCTGATCCAAACGTATGTCCATAAAATAAACAAAGACATACTATCACACTGACGGTTGAATGTGGAGTGACCACAAACCTTGTAATGTGTAAAAGTGTAAAGCCTAGCTGATTGCCCAAGCTGGCTATAAAGACAAAAGGACCTAAGTAGGGAAGGGCTTATGTTATTGTGCTGTGTGGTGAACATGCGGTAAGCATGCTCAGTGAACTGGCTGTGAGTGATAGTTAGTTAAGGCAGGCTAAGTAAAATAATAAGTCATGATAAATTAAAATGACTAAAGCTGTGCAATGAAACTTAATGCATTTATTTACATGAATTCATATCAATATACAACATGTTAAAATATACAAAATCTGTTACTGCCACAGACACTATAATCAGAATCTGATTATTATCACCCCGGATAACCCAAGCTGCCTGTTTGGCGCTAGGAGGTTAATAGTCACATGACTTTATCCAACCGGGTACCCATTTTCTGCTGGGTGAACAGAGGCAATTTTGAACAAACTCACTTGCCCAAGGTGAGACCACATGTCATACCAAACCAAAACGCCTAATCCTCATAGTATTTTTATGCTACTGGCACTGCAACTCTCTCATTATTTACAATTAAATTTGTATGTATTTATTTATGTGAATTATTTTAATTGTTTACAAACGACGTCCAGTTGGGGGAATGTCACTGTAAATGAAAATATTGTTCTGTCTTTGCTCTGTCTATTCCGACCGCGAATATCCGGGTTAGAATTAATCTTCAACAACCCATGCTTGTCATAAGAGGCGACTAACGGGATCGTGTGGTCAGGCTCGCTGGCTTGGTTGACACATGTCATCGTATCCCGATTGCGTAGATTGATGCTCATGCTGTTGATCACTGGATTGTCTGGTCCAGACGCGATTATTTACAGACCGCCGCCATATAGCTGGAATATTGCTGAGTGCGCCGTAAAACTAAATTCACTCACTCTGTCTTGTCCGGTAAGGTCAGTCACTTTAAGATGATCTTACACTGGTACCAGAAACCAAATGGACTTTCTACTATAAACATCGTGTACGTGAACAAGTACATACGAGGGCGAAAATATCGGGGTTCATATTTTTCATACGATGCCCTAGGGCAAAATATCACTTTGTCTTAGTGACTTGACGTCATGAACAATGCTATGACGTCACGTTTCTTCTGTGACGTTGCGTTCTACATGCGGCGACAGCGGGTAGCGACTATATAGTTGAAAGTAGATTTGGGTTATTTTCCTCAATTTGACGGCTTCGGTAATAAACAGAATATTATATTCGTGCCCATAGCATACTATGTTTACGACACTCGTGCCTAAATATCGGTATATCCGTCGCTCTTGCTCGGGAAATACCAACATCTAGGCACTCGTGTCGTTAACATAGTACGACATGGGTACTCATATAATACCCTCTATGTCTTACGCTTTGTCACCCTCATTCCCTCCTACCAACAAGCATGCTCCACCAGCTGCTAAAATAGGATATTAAATTTATGCTCTTTTCTTGTGGTATACATATGCATGAGATCGTAGGATACCCGGAGGCCGTGATCGCATCGTTGTGCAACATGTACCGTTAAACACAGACAAACAAAGTGTATACGTTATGTTAATGATAACGATGTTTTACGATTTTTATCATGAGTATGAATATTATTATTCTCTCTAGATATGACACAGAGTGTCATATAAACCATGCATCATTAACGTTTCAAGCATCATTTTCGACTTATTTGTCCATGTTTAATGGAAAACACATTGGCTTGATTACAGAGTGTAAGAGTTAATTAATATTAATTTGTTTATGTACAAAGGATATATGTCATCCAAGCACAAAGATAAACTAAGGACAAGATGAATACAACGTTTGTGTGGTATGTTGCTTTTAGTATAACTAAGTAAAGGCGGTGGTGTAGCCTAGTGGTTAAAGCGTTCACTCGTCTCGCCGAACACTCGGGTTCGATTCCCCACATGGGTACAATGTGTGAGGCCCATTTCTGGTGTCTCCTGCCGTGACATTGCTGGAATATTGCTAAAAGCGGCGTAAAACTAAACCCACTCACTATGACTAAGGAACATGCATTTCAAATTACCAACAAACAAAATAACAGTTGACTTGCCTTTGCGTGTGTTTATGACGGGGCCTAAGCTTTTCGCGAACACCTGATATCATGTAATTGTGATCCATAAACACATGCTCACTGTTCAGTCGGACTCGTGTTTGCATTGCTCGGGTAAATGAACATTATCCCATGTAATATGGAGGTACTTGTATATATTCGTCAACAGGGAGCTGTCTTAGGCTAATGGTGTCACTTTGTTAGAAAGCATATTTTCTTCAACGGAAATTGATCTCTATTTCAATTATTTGTTTATTTCGTTATTTTCGTTACTTTCTCGAAGTTTCTATAATACAAACCAATTTTGAACTATTGAGAAACTGTTTGAAATTATGATAAAATAATTGAAGTAATGTGCGAGAAACTCGAAGTTTAGAGAATATACTTGAACAAAATAATGGAAGTAAAGAAATATTTTTTCGAAATTTCGAGTTTTTTAAATAAACTTCAAATACTGAGAGAGAAAAAGTCAAATTACGAAAATATATTTGAAGTAACGAGAGATAAAACTCAATTTGGAAATAATTGAAAGAAGATAAATTTCGATTTGAAATAGGTGTGGCACAAATGTTGCTCACAGCACTAGTAACTCGACTGTTGGTGTTTCAGGTGAATGAGGTGCAGGATGGGCAGCTTGGGAGAAGACATGCCACAGCAGGGTGAGTAACACGTCCAGTGAGTAAGTGAGTGAATTTAGTTTTACGCTGTTTGTAGAAATATTCCAGCAATGTCACGGCTGGGGACACCAGAAATGGGCTTCAGACATTGTACCCATTGGGGAATCGAACCCAGGCCTTCGACGTGACGAGCGAACGCCTTAACCACTGGGCTACCACACCACCCCGTAACACGTCCAGTTGGTCCACGTACGGATAGGTGGTGGTGGTGGTGGTGTGGTGTGGTGTGGCGTGTGTGTGTGTGTGTGAGAGAGAGAGAGAGAGAGAGAGGAGGGGGACAGTGTGTGTGAGAGGTATGTTTGGCGTGTGTGTGGTGCGCAGTGTGGTTGTGTGTATCTGTGGTACGTTTGCTCTGTGTATGTGTATGTATATAGGGGTTGATGTGTGTGTGTGTGTGTGTGTGTGTGTGTGTGTGTGTGTGTGTGTGTGTTGTGGTTGTCTCTGTGGTATGTTTGCCTTGGTGTGTGTATAGTGTGGGGTGTAGCATGCTTATTGTTGTGTTTATGGTATGTTTGGCGTGTGTGGTGTGTGTGAATGTTGTATGACTGTTCTTTCTGTGGTGTGTTCTGTGTTTGAGATGAAGTAAAGTGACGTAAGATGAACCGGGGGGAAACGCAGCATTCAATTTTATCCGCATAGGTTTATCATAGTAGATCAGGCTCCATTTCAAAAAGGTCTGCGACAGATGTGTCACCATTAGGCTTCCGTACAACACAACACCAGTAACTCGGCTGTTGGTGTTTCAGGTGAATGAGGTGAAAGATGGGCAGCTTGGGCGAAGACATACCTCTCCAGGGTGAGTAACACGTCCTGTTGGACCACAGTGGGGTAGGAGACTTGTATATATGGTGGTGTCTTGTGTGTGTGTGCGCGCGCGCGCGCGCGCGTGCATCTGTGTGTGTGATCAGTCAGCGTTAAATATATTTCACAAAACAATTTATGGATCCACCTTAATCACTTAATTACCTTAAAATGCCAATATTAGTAAAACTGTGTTTGATACAAATCAAAAGAAACGGTTGTCATCTTAGATGTAACCTTCTATATAATCAGCGCTGAGCTGTCCGTGCGTGCGTGGGGTGGGGGTGGGGGTTGCAATTTGTGTGTCTGGTTTGTGGGTTTATAAAAACGTGATGTATTGTTGTGTGTGTATTGTGTGTTATGTGTTCTGAAATTGTATGGGTTTCAATGTGCGCGTGTGTGATTTGTGTGTGTGTCCGATTCGTTGGGTCTTTGCGGTAGTGGTGATGTGGTATCTGGTGTTCGTTATGTTTTGTGTGTTTCGTGTTGCGTGTGGTTAGGGTTTGAGTGGTTTTGGTGGTGGTGGGGGTGGTGGTTTTGGGGGTGGTGGTGGTGTGGTGTGGTGTGTGTGGGGTGTGTGTGTGTGTGTGTGTGTGTGTGTGTGTGATGTGGTGACTGCGTTGTGTTCTTTGGTTTTTGTTGCTTTGTTGTGTGTGTGTGTGTGTGTGTCTGTGTGTCTGTGTCTGTCTGTGAGTCTGTGACTGTGTGTCTGTCTGTGTGTCTGTGTCTGTGTATGTGTCTGTCTATCTGTGTGGGATTGATACGGTAGTTGTGGTATGTATGATGTCTGTTATGGCGTGTAGAGTTACTGGGTGGTGTGTGCGTGTGTCTGTCTGTCTGTCTGTCTGTGTGTTGGGTAGTATTGATACAATAGTGGTGGTATGCAGGGTGTGGCGTGAATGCTGTTTGGTGTCACAAACTATGATGATATATGCTCTATGGCTGCACAGATTGTGCACACTCAAACTTCACGTCAAGACAGATAAGTGTAGCTAAAGATGATAACACTTTTGTTCCCCATTAATTTACAAAAAGAATTTGACTAAACTTTAATATTCATATTTGATTGTATTCAAGCTAAAATTTTAAATAGCGGAAAATCTTCAGAAAGCCTTCACATGCAAGTAAAAAGTGTCCTTCGTTTCACGCTCCTTAAACCCTTCTATATAATGCGGGGCGGTCGGTTAGCCTAGTGGTTAAAGTGTTCGCTCGTCACGCCGAAGACCTGTTCGATTCCCACAAGTGTACAATGTGTGGATCCCATCTCTGGGGTCCCCCGCCATAATATTGCTGGAATATTTTAAAAATATCTCACTCACTTCAACATTACTATACGGTGTGGTTGGATATGTTTTGACCTTCATGTCGATACCGCTGCAAACAGATCCCGTAGCATTCCATACCTTGTAATGTTGTGTGACTGTGTGCCAACACGACCCACAGATCCGGGTCATTCCTCATTATATCAGCCACTGATTTGGGTGGTTCAGACTCGAACTTCTACAGTCCGCCATGATGCAGTCGGAACATGCCTAACACAACATTATGTTCACCTGAAATGTGACACAATGGATACTGTGTCATTGTATCCGTACTTGGTGTTCATTATATTATGTATCCATTATATCTATTGGAGCAGGATGCGCTGATCTTTCGGGAACACCACGCTTCAATACTGTTTGACAGTGGTTCATAATAACAGGCTCATGATATAGTCGGTATCTAATAATGGACTCTACTATTTGCAGAGTTTTCTTATTATAATGGTTAGGGTTTTCTCTTATATTCTCTTCATACTTTCTAGGACGATTGGGTAGTCTACTGGTTAAAGCGTTCGCTCGTCACGCCGAAGACCCGGGTTCGATTCCCTACATGGGTACAATTTTCCAAGCCCATTTTTGGAGCCGCCCGCCGTGATATTGCTGGAATATTGCTAAAAGCGGCGTAAAACTAAAATCACTCACTCACTCACTCACACATTATAGGCCTATCCTGAACTATGTCACAAGATTTATGTTTACGAAGTTTCTTTAATTGGATTTGACAAAAAGAAATACAACCGTTATGAAAACGTTACTTGGCTAAAATGTGTGGCCGAAAGACTGTAGACCAAGCGACCAAAGCACAAAGTGATACCTGTATGGTTCTGTTGGTTTGTTGTTCAACGCCGCACTCAGCATTAGCATTATTCCAGCCATATGGCGGCGGTCTGTAAATACTCGAGTCTGGACCAGACAATCCAGTGATCAACAGCATGAGCATCGTTCTACGCAATTGGGATACGATGACATATGTCAACCAAGTCAGCGAGCCGTTGGTCGCCTCTTACGACAAGCATGGGTTGTTGGAGATCAATATTCTAACCCAGATCTTAAAGGGTCTTTGAAACGATGACATGTGTCAACCAGGTCAGCGAACCTGACAACCCGATCCCATTAGTAGCCTGTTACGACAAGCATGTGTTTCTGAAAAACAATTCTAACCCGAATCTTCACGGGTGTGATACCTGTATGCAATACATCACCAGTCATTGTTTCTATATTTCACCACTATCAGACAGCAGTGTGCGAAATAGCCACTGGCCCGCTAGCCCGTGGTTAGTAAAAATCCAGTTGGGCCAGTAAATCTCCAAAGTCACTGGCCCGACTGCTAGTGAATTTTCATGGGGTCATTTTGTAAATAAATCACTCTCTCCCACTTGTAAAGTTGTAATACACTTTTAAATCATGCAAGATTATGGCCTGATAAAAATGTTCATCTTATTAGCAGCTTAATTATGAAACCCGTGTCATGCCGACAATATCTCATTCTCATCTATTTTTGTAATCTTTTGCTTAGTTTCTACATTCAAATTTCGGGCTAGGGAATTATTTTGTGAGCTAGTAACTTTCAGGCATAGCTAGCCGGGGCTAGTAAAATGGAAACTATTTTGCACACTGACTTGCAGATCATTAAAACGGATGTAATCCGAACATGCTACAGTGCACTACATTTTCAACGAACAGGTGGATATAACGAACTTGGATTTTTGGGTACCCGACACTTGTGTATATTTTAGTCGAAATGATATGTCGAACTACGGCCCTAATAAAAAATAGCAGGCCTTTGAATTCGTTGTAACCGTGCTTATGCACTGTAAGTAAATGGCTACAGAAGGTGAGGAAGGGTAACAACAAGGACTGAACGTAAGGTAACGGTGCTACCAACGTTGTACAACCCTAGCTCTCGCTGCTGGCGATTGCTGACGACTTAAGACGAAAATAAATATGAAAATAAAATAATAATTACAATATAATCAAAAGGTGATAAAAAGGTCCAAATATACTTTGAATGATATGGTTTAACATACCATCACTTGACGACTGGACAGAGGTCATGGATGCTAATGTTGACCTTGAAACCTTTAAAGTTCAGCTCCTAAATTACGGTGATCGATTTTCTTCAAATGGTGTCAAGCAGTAGAGTTAATTTTGCAGTGAAAGTTGTCTACATTTGCCTGTTTCAAATCAATAGAACTAACGTCGAAGTTATTCTTTGCTGACAGTGGTTTATTTTATAAACACAAGGGGCGTATTCAGTCCTCGATGGAAGGTCAAGGTCACGTTAATCCCGATGTGAATCTAAAATTGACATGATTGTGGGACTGCACTTTGGGGTTGTAGTGAATTTTGCATTGTGGAGAATATTCTATATATTGATTCAGTAAAGCTGATTACAAACGCAGAAATCAATGTTTTTAACTGCTGCATTCAAGTTAAATCGGTTTGCAGAGGTCACAGACTTTATTCTTAAAATAAAATTGCAACAGCTTTAAAACAAAACTGTATTTCTAAGAGTCATTGTTTCCAAACATTTCTCGTAGGATTAGCAAAAGCATAGCTGTTACAGAAATATTTGAAAAATTAACCACTGATATATTGCAAAAGTTCCCAGATAAGTCCTTTTGTTAAACGTGAAAGGTAGTAACGTTGCAATATACAGTAAACTATATTTATAATGACGCTTATAATAAAATGTCGGATATATCGAACCGGATCACTGACTGAGTATCCGATCTAAGAACGCTTATAAAATATTGTTAAAATACACACATGCGGTCTCTCCTTAAAAAAGTCACTTTGTTCAAAATTGCTCACCCAGCAGTAAATGGGTACCCGGTGGGATAAGTCATATGACTTCTACAGCCTCTCCGGTATCCGGGATAATAACGTCCATTATGTTCAGCGCAATATCAGTGGCCTTATTATTATTATAAAATATTATAACCAAACACAAGTTGGCATCGTCTGATTTTGTATCATTTCCAATCTCCCAAATTAAATGAATAGTTATCGAATGAATTCATGTTTATAAATTGAATTTTCATAATGTTTTGAGGTTACCCCATTTAAGTTAATTATAAACTAACGCAATCCAATATCAATTTACAAATATTTCTTCACTTGACTGGGTTCATATGGCTGATTTAGAAGGAACTTAGTTGGGTTTTTTTTCACTAATATGTTTTAAAATCCTCATTAAAATTGTTTTAGGAATTTCGAAATGAACTCAAAATCGTGTAACATCTAATTTAATTCAGACTGTGCCTAGTACGATCTGGTTTTGAGGAAACCAAGTCCCTCAAATGCTGCCAGACCAGAAGGTTTTCCTGAAGGCATCGGCGAAAGCAAACAGCTAAATCTCTGAGTAGCGTGTTCCACTTCTCTCTGTTTACCAAACTACCCAACTGAGCGGCGTCTAACGCCTTGAGAAAGCAGGGGGTGAAATAACGGCACAGGGCGTCACAGGGATCTTTATATGTGAATACACCGGCTCAATCGCATTTTTCTTCGATCTCTTTATTTCTGGCCATTGGACATTGATCCATCGAGTAGCAGATTGGCAAACCATGTTCGTCGTTTATGGTTGCCTGTATACATCTAGTTAATAGCACTCAGTGCCAATATAATGGATTATCGTCAAACACAATTAATAAGCTAGAAAAGCATCATTAAG